AGAGAATTCCCATCTTTTAGTTGCTGTTACTAAATCAAATAACTGATTTGAGGATCATTCATCTTAAATACTATTGAGAACAATTCGAAGATGTTGTTATACATATTTTTTTAACCTATGAGAGGATATTAACTGGTGCTTAGGTAGTCTGGCAAAATCAATGTCTTTATGAGGAAAACTTACATTTACTGTCATAATATTCTTAGGTACAACTTTCATATAATTATGCATATAACTGTGAAAGGCCTGTTACATACTATTGATTTTCTTTTCAGACAAAATTCAGATCCATTTCTCTAAAATTATACCATTTTATGCATGTCTTTTTTTTACATGTACTTTTTTTTTTAACCTGCCCTATTTTTTAATACTAGAAATGTAAAGAAAATCAAGACAAGGTGTGTGGCTAAAGGAAACCTTGCAATGGTTTTTAGCATGCTTACCTCTTTGTAGAAAATGATATTTAGACCCGGCTTATGCCTATAATCCTAGCACTCTGGGAGGCTGAGGCAGTTGGATTGCTAGAGCTAAGAAGTTTGAGACCAGCCTGAGCAAAAGGCAGAGACTCACCCCCAGCTCTATTAAAAATAGAAATATTAGCTAGGTGTTGTGGCCGGTGCCTGTAGTCTCAGTTACTTAAGAGGCTGAGGCAAGAGGATCAACTGAACCCAGGAGTTTGAGGTTGCTGTGAGCCAGGACACCACAGCACTCCATTCTGGGGCAAAAGAATGAGACTCTGCCTCAAAAAAGCCCCCCCAAAATTAAAGGAAATGATATTTAATGTACAAATGACTATTGTATCCATGGAAAGGGTGGTTCAAAAACTGCACAGAAGCATCAGGTTTGAGACTTGGACAACCAGTTTACTATGCAAGAGTCAGCCTAAGTAATCGAATTGTTTATGGAATAGCCAAAGTTCTTGGCAAGCTATGAACTTCCTAATCTCCTACCTAACATTCCTAGGTTCCTGAGGCGGAACCTTGATTTGAAATCATTGCAACCTAACCACTCCACCCTAAATGCATTCTGTCACATGTGGCACCATAGTACCCAGAACAGGTTTGGCTTGATTTAATAAAACTGAATATACAAAAAGTTATACTAGAAGGTCAAGAAATACAGAGATAATATTTCACTTTGAAAAATAAATGTTTTAACAGATGTATTTACCAATATGTTATTCACTGTCTTTTTTTAAGTTTAGTATATTTAAAATGTTGAACAGATATTTGTTCAACTCTTTGTGAAGGGATCTAGGTAATAAAAACATGTTAGAAAATGGAAAATAAGAGGTCATATGAAATTGTTTCAAGTTTCTTTTCCTCTGGTAGCTTTATCACACAAAGAAGAATTACTTGCTTTATGTTTTACTTTTAGATTAAATGTTAAATCATTACTTTCTGCTTGAGGTGTATTAACACTCTATTTTACTACAAAACTACAAATGTAGTGCTCATATTTAATGTTATTGTCCTCACATGTAATATTAAAATAAAATAATTATATTATCCTTCACTTTGTGTTTCTCTTTGTTTCTTTGTGAAACATTTTTGATATTTTATTGACTCCTTGACACCTGAGACATACTAGAATTTGAAGAGCCACTTAAAAAAATTCTTTCTTATTTCCACTTTCCTTGATGAGACAGATGATTCAGACCCAAAAGTTATTTTCGGTTCAACTGACATCTAATACTCTCTAAATGTTTTTGCCATTTAGAGTACTTTATAACCCTGTACACTTCCATCTTTTCA